TAACCACTGACCTGAGATACTCAAATTTGTTTTAAATTTGTTTAATTCTATGTAAATACAGGAGATTTAGCTAGTGACAGGCTTTTATTTATTTTATTTCATTTATTGTATTTTGTAATGCTGATTTCAGTGTCTTTTGATGTGTTGTGAACTACCCAGAAAGTGTTTGCACTAATGCGGCAGCTGTTCCTGTTGTTGTTTATGTGCTGTTGTTGTTCCTGCTGTTGTTGTTATGTGCTGTCAGGTTGCTCTTGACTTATGGAGACCCTATGAATGAGCACGCTCCAAAATGTCCTGTTCTCAACTGCTCGGCTCAGCTCTTCTAAACTGAGGTCTGTGACTTCCTTTAGGGAGTCAGTCTATCTCATATTTGGTCTTCCTCTTTTCCTGCTGCCTTTCTCCCTTCCCAGCAATACTGTCTATTCCAAAGAATCCTCGCATTCTCATGATGTGTCCGAAGTAAGACCACCTCAGTTTCAACATTTTTTAAACATAGTTGAAATAATAAATAAATAAATATATTTTAAATTCTGCTCTCTCACATTTTAGTTAATTAACAAACGTGTAGACACAAAGGACCCATCTAGAACAGCATCTAGTCTTTGCTCTTTCCTCCTTTACTTTGGCCTTCTTTGTGTCTCATCCTTATAAATGAGCGAACTGAAATAGAAAGGTGTAATCATAGCTATCAGAAAGTTGCATCACACCAAGCAAGACCACTGCTCCATTTAGCACTGAACTGTCTGCACTGACTGGTGTGGCTCTGTGGGGTTCCAGAAAAGAATCTTCTCCAGCCTTTTCTGGGACTGAACCTGGGACCCTCTACATGCAACACATGTGTTCCACCACTGAAAGCTATCCCTTTCCAATAATCAAGTTAAAGAGTACATGATACATATGGGAAGGTCGTCTTCTCCTGCTTTTTAAAAAGTTACCTTTCTTAATAATGCAAGCTCAAATTGGAGAAAGGAAGCTTTTGAGACATGGCAAGACAGACATTCATGCAGTCAGCTTCTATCTACTAGAATAAATTGACCCTAAAATTGGGATGATGTCAGAAAAAGAAGTGCTCCACAACATAAATCACTGTAATGTTAATAATATCATGATGGCATTTTAATCTCAATTTGCAGGGAACTGGTATCTGGGAGTCATTTTTAAATTCCTGAGACACCACTAAAATTAATCTGAAGGCAGAGTGGTTTTACTATTTATGCACACCCAGGCAGTTCTTCTAGAACAGCAGTTCTGGTGTAGCAGCAGATTTGAAGGGTATTCTGCCACTGATAAAACACTTGAAGCACGTCCCCAGCACTGGGAAAATGCACAATCTGAACAAAAAAAAAGCAAAACAACATAAGACAGCAGAGAAAGAACATGTTGGATCCATGTTAAGCATATGGTATGACTGACCACAAAAACTGAATGAAAAGATGTGAAATACCACTATGAACAAAAGGCACACAAAGCCATACAAATCAGCCACCTATCCCCAATTTTCCAAAGCACCCCTCCAAGTCTTATCAGTTTACAATTCTTCTGATAACCAAAGACCTATAGAAGCTGTGATGGACAAGATCAGGAAAGTCCTGAGGCAATTTGTTAGCTCTCTTTTGCTTGTATAATCATGCTTACTTACCCTTTTCTTTCACTTCCACTGTCCCCAACCTACAACCTGTTCTCTCTAACAGACCTCTTCCCATACTAACTTCATTTTACACTACTTAATAAGAGATAACCCCATTTTGTTTTTATGTGCTGTCAAAACACAGCTGATTTATTGCAATCCTAAAACAGTTTTCAAGGTGAGTTATTTAAGTAGTTTACCATTTCCATATCCGCAGTTTCCATGGCTGAGCAAGGATTTGAGAACCCAGGCCTCTTGAGCCCTAGTCCGTTACTCTAAGAACTACACCACCTTTGGTACCCAATCCAGTTTAGGATATTATAGATCATACAAGCCAGCATTGGGCATTTTCTGATGTAAACACCAAGGAGAATATGAGTGCCATGTGCTGTCAAATTACTCTCGACATATGGCAACCTCGACAAGGTTTTCAAGGTGTGTGAGATATCAAGATTATTATAATAATATTATTATTAAGGAGTAGCTTTACCAGTGCCACCCTCACTCCAGCAAGTTTTTACGGCCAAGCGGGGATCTGACCTCAGGTCTCCAGAGTCCTAACCCTACACACATTAACCGTTACATCACACTAGCTCTCAAAAAGCAGATGGCTTTTTTAAAAAAAACAAATTCTTCCAGTGAGCAACCTGCTGTCTTTCAAGGTAACCTGAAAGTGAAGGAAGCTTTGCCAAAGGGTTCACAAATGGTAGGCAATTATCCAAAACAACACCCGGGGCCAAGGGTAATATTTCACTTTCTAATAAGAAAGCATAAGACAACAAAGCAAATGAAGAGAATTTTATCCTATGCAGCATAGATGGGAACAGCTATGCAACAGTCTTAATTTCTTTTAAAAGGAACATTAACAGTGATTTCTATTGGCCTGAATGGACAGTGCACTCTTTTCCAGTCTTATACCTTCTATGTGTAAGATGTTGACTTCTATCATCACCAGGGGATGATCTAAGGATTATGGGAGTTCTAATCCAAAACATCCAGAAGGCACCTGATTTTGGAGGGCTGGAGCCATCTATAAAATCTCCAAGCTAGTTTGTGCCAAACAAAAAATATACAATGGGCTGTCATAAAAACAGGCAAGGTTTTTTTTTAGATGCTGTTCCATTGAGCTTCCCATTCCCAAGATGTGCGTCACTCAATTCAGTTTCTTATTACTAGCTGCAACTACTTATATGGATCTCTTTTAGCAAAACTCTCCCCTCTCTGTCCAGACCATGCTAAGGAATAAGCTCAAACGATTGCAGCATATGTAATTAGACGCAATACATGTTGGGCCAACTTATATCCCTTTTTCAAGGCCAATTTGTCTGCACTTCTTGCTTGCTGCCTTGCTTCAGTTTCACAGTCCTTTGGAAGCCAAGAAAGGGGAAAGGCAGACGCTACTGTCTGAAACACAAATACCATCTACAGAAATACAGATGAGATGAGAGGTCCAGAATATAGATGACTATTAAATAATAACTACTTGAAATGCCTCTTAAACTTATGACCTGGAATCAATGCTGAGAATCTTCTCTAACAACAATTCACAGAAGTGAATGTATTTATTTGGCCACATTTTTTCATCATACATTTACTAGCACAGAGCAGGAGCTAACACTAAAAAAAATTAAGATAATCATATTGTGGGAACCTACATGTCCTTTACACAATAAAAAAAATATGGGAATGCAGGTATTCAGAAATCTAACAGGATACATGGGCGCACAGTGAATATGAATGGTCAAGGCAAACAGCTATGCAATACGTGTGACTGAGCAACAATACCTGTCAAAAGTCAGTGAAACAAAGTGGACAATATAGACAAAGAATGTTGGATAGCTGAATTTGCATAGAACAGGAGTATGAAACATAATGAATGGGAGTTCAAATATAATGAACCAGCATGGCAATGAAATAAGTACTGTACTTTTCTTTACATAGAAGAATATTGTGAACTATAATGGCAGTTATGATATACTACAACATACAGAGAAAATTGGTACACAAGAATATAGTGCATGAATAGGTGGGACACTGACCTTGACAGGATTGGTGAGTGAACATAAATGTCACACAGGTGTAATGGAAGGAATACATGAGAACTTGGCACATAAGGAGTAAAGGAACAATAATATTATAAGAAGGAAGGTAAGAAATGTGGCTTATAAAGGAAATTAGGTTCACAGCAAATGTGGAAACCAGCACAAGGGATAAATACTATGAAATAAGTAAACAGGGTTAACAAATACAACTGCCCTTTCCCATTTTAGAAGGCATGCATTTTGCCTGTGAGTGCCCTGAATGTGCACCTCCTATTGGGGCACAAGCTCGCTCACCTATCAGAGATATTCTGCTAGTAGAAAATCAACCTGCCAGAGTTAGGAACTTTCTTCAATAACACAGGCACTGCAAACCAAGCCAGTGCGACTCAATTAAATTTATACAGATTTATAATACTGAACTGTTATTTTAACAAGGGCTTTAAGACACTAGGAAAAACCTGCATTAAAACTTTCCAAGAAAACTTTAACTTGCCAGCCAGCAGATGCCACAGAATTTACTGGTATACACTGTTTGCTTTCTATACCACCAATATGACTAGGTCCCTAATGGCAACATAACAAGTGTAACTATTTTTACTAAGTACTGTAAATGTTCAGAGTTCAAGCAGTTCTTTATAACCAAGGGTTGGGAGGCGGATTGTCATTGAGTCTGATCCAGGTAGGTAAAAACTGCAATAAATAACAAATTAGGGTTGGAGGTATAGAAGTCCAGTGAAAGGGGCAAAGGATATAAAGGGTGCATGGTACAGAGTACACAGTAATTAT